CAAGGTAGGCTATCACTTTCGAACGCAGGAAAAGATTTACTAAACATCTTTTCACACAGGTGATCCGTCTTCGAATGAAACGTCAACGCCGACGGATGGTGGGTGTCTACCGTGCGATCCCAGAAATTGACTCGATGTGTCGCGCAGTTGAGGATGCAGATTATGACAAAACTGATCTGTTTCCACTAGGTAGGAGTTGGAGAGAATCTCCTCCTTTTTGCCATGGTTGCAGCTTTTATGAGATATCCCAGTCCATTGTGATGTATTTATATTGAAGGGCTTGAACCGTCGGACGATGAAGATGCGACATATCCGTCGTCGTCTATTCTTCCTACAGCAAGCCTGGCAGTGTCCAGCTACTTCGGGTGACTTGTCAACACAACTGTATCTGATCAAGAAGCAACTGCGACTGGAACGACATGCTTTGTTGAAGCAGGTACCCTAGTGCTCCGATTTCAAAGTGCAATCGTCTTTTTCCTGGAATAGCTTCAAACATGCCTTGGAAATTTGAATGGAGACCTAGGGTAAATCGATAGAATAATGAATGCGTGTTACAAATATGGAAGCGAAAATTTCAACGTGAACTTTCCAAGCGGGTCGTGAGCGCTCAAAGTTGGCAGGAAGTGCAGCGTCAAGAGATGAATCGAGCTAGTCTGTCGCATCAGCATTTTTAGCCTTCCCTGAAACTACCTTCAGGGTAGATGGGTACCCGACAGGAGGCCCGTCGCGCGGCAAGAAGGCAGAGTCAGCGGACGAGTCGCAGCGCGTACTATAGTGATTTCGCGTCAAGTTAAATAGAATGTACCATTGCACGTCCTACATCGCACACCACGCGCTGCGACTCGTCCGCCGACTCTGCCTTCTTGCCGCGCGACGGGCCTCCTGTCGGGTGCCCGGGGTAGGTAGGTGGCCTGGTCCCACATACGACATCCATTTTTGAAATAGGGGCGATTCCCAGTTTCGTGATTTACTTTTTTGGTACATCTCAAGCCAACTTTCAAGACAAGAACAACTATTGAACGCTCACAACATGTCCAGAAAGTTAGCGTAGCAGTTTTGGTCTCCATATCTGTGATTAGCATTTTCAACTCTATCGATCTGCCTTGGTTTCATGGGAGATTGGAAGCCTCCCTCAGGGAGTAGCCTTCGAGTGTATCGAATAATTACCGGTGTCTTATCCAGGCACAACTGAACGCCCACATCATGTGCGCATCCAGACGATTACCATTGAGCGTTGGTGCGGCGCTGCGTCAACGCTGCGATCCCTCACCCCCTCCACTACAGTTGGCCCCTGCAGCTCTACGTCGGTGCTGTCAACTGGACAATACTAATAAACAGCGGTAAGTGTTCGTGATTTCAAATTTGTTGAAGGAATTTCTTTTCGTACTCTTGCTTTATGTTCAGCTGTATTCTTCACATGTATTTGTCTTTATAACGGAGCTCAATCGCTGTTTCATGGAATTGTCTTGCATAGGTGCGAACGTGCTTGTTTACCGATGTCAAATCATTGCGTTCAACACGTGCTCTACAACGTGCATCAGCGTCTATTCGCCTTCTGTACGCAGTCATTCTGTCGTCGACCAGTGAACTCGATCGACGCACTGCTTTGGGATGGAAAATGTGCACTACACAGACAGTCCAGAGAGGACAGATACGGTATGTCCTTTTGCTACTACTCTTTCGTGCCACTTAAACCTTTCTTTTATCTACTCTGTTTGCTCTTCGCCCTTTCTATACCGCATTTGTTGAAGGTCCGGCACCGTTTGTACGACACCAGCTCATTCATGGGTTCATCGTCGTCAATAGGCTCACCACTTGGTGACGAATCCTCTGCAG